TCCATTTAAACAAGTGTTGGCAAATTGTCCACCTGTGTAATACAGAGCAAAATGTAGGATATGCTCATCAACTCTCACATTTTTCTTGGGCTCCGTCTTTGTTTTTGCTGAGTGGCACTTCCACTGCAGATTCTGCATTTGTTTATTCAGTCACCTGTTGAAAGACATTTGTTTACATTTGGGGCCATTACGAATAAAACTACTCTAAGTATTAGTGTTCAGGTCTTGCAGTGGATTTATGTTTTATTTCTCTTAGGTCAATGCCTAGAACTGCTAGGTTGTGACAAAAACATGTTAAACTACTTCAAAGTAGTGTGCTATTTTACATTTTCACCAACTATTTGCCTGATGTTCATTTGTCGCCACCAACACTTGGCGTGGCGAGACTTTTAGCTTTCAGCAGTTATAAGGGGTAGGGATACTGAATTGTGATTTTATTTCCTGATGACTAATAATGCTGAACTTTTTATATGCTTTTTGGCTATTTTCATATATTTTTGGAAGTGTCTGTTCAAATCTTTTGGCCATGTTATTGCATTTTCTTGTTAAGAAAAGGGTTCCATATATATTTTGTCTATTTACCTCCCTTTTGCCTGCTCTTCCACTTCCACCCCAGGCCCCTGCCACAATTACTCTATTGTGTACGTCCATGAGTTTTTTTCTTGTATTTTTAAAGTAAGAACTTTGCAAAACATATGCAAGTATTTTTTCCAAAACCATGCTTCACTTTAAAGTTTCAAAAAACAAAGGTTTTTAAAAATGCTATAGTGTATTTTACTGCTATCTCTGGACTTAGCTTTTTTGTCTTATCTAAAAAAAAAAAAAAAAACTTTGCTACCCGACACTCATGAAAATGTTCTTGTTTTACTTCTGTAAGTTTTAGAATTTTCCCCTTTTTAGGTTGATGATCCATTTTTTTATCCATCTTATTTTTATATGTCATATGAGGTTAAGGATTGAGGTTCATTTTTCTCCATAAATATATCCTGTTGTTCTAACATTTAAGACTATGCTTTAGCCCTGGCCAGTTTGGCGCGGTGGATAGAACGTCGGCCTGCAGACTGAAGGGTCCCGGGTTTGATTCTGGTCAAGGGCACGTGCCTGGGTTGCGGGCTTGGTCCCTAGTGGGGGCCATGCAGAAGGCAGCCAATCAGTGACTCTCTCATCATTGATGTTTCTATCTCTTCCTCCCTCTCCCTTCCTCTCTTAAGTCAATAAAGAAATATATTTAAAAAGAAGTCCATCCTTTAAACTATTGAATTGTCTACCTTTATTTCAATACCACATCTTAGTTACTTTAGCTTTAAATAGCAAAGCTTTATATAGTGTAAATTCTCTAAATTTTCTTTTCCAAATTGTTTTGGCTATTCTGGGACACTTGAATTTACACATAAATTTTGTTTACAATAAAGACTGCCACAATTTTTACTTGAATTCCATTATTTATACATCAACTTAGGGATAATTAACATTTATAAAAGTGAGTCTTCCAATTCGCAATTATGGGATATCTCCATCCACTTAGATTTTCTTTCATTTCTTACCAATTTCTGTGGTTTTTATTGTACAAGTCTTGTACAAATTTTGTTTGTCCCTAAGTATTTCATGTTGTTTAATTCTACTGTGATAGCTTTTATATTTCAATTACCAATTATATGTTGCTAGCATGTAGAAATAAAACTGAATTGTGTCTATTGACCATGGACCTTACCTTACTCACTTATCGATTCTAGTAGTTTATCTATTTTTTTAGGATTTTCAATGTTTGTCTCCTGCAAAGAGTTTAATTTCTTACAATATGCATACTTTTTCTACTTATTTCATAGGTTGGATCTTCAGTACAGTATTAAATAGAAATGGTGACAGCAGATATCTTGTTGCCTTCACCAAATCTTAGGAGAAAAACAAACCATTATGTACAATGTTAACTGTAGGTTTTTCAGATACTCCTTGTCAAGTTCCCTTCTAATTCTGGTTTGCTCAGTTTTTATCATAAATGGATACTGAATTTTATTTTACACATTTTCTGCACCTAGTCAGATGAATGACCATGTCTCCCCACCCCATGTTGTTAATTTGGTGAATTACATTTTTTTTTAAATTCTAGTGATTCATATTTAAAAACAAATTTGTGGTAAAATACACATAACATACAATTACCATTTTAACCATGCTTATATGTACCTACCCATTAGTATCATTAAGTACATTTATTACTGTGCAACCAATCTCCACAACTTTTTCATCTTCCATAATTGAAATTCTGTATCCATTAAACAACTCCCCATTTCCTTCTGCCCCTTTTAATTCAATTTTTTTTAAATACATATTTTTATTGACTTCAGAGTGGAGGAGAGAGGGATAGATAGAAACATCAATGATGAGAATCATTGATCAGCTGCCTCCTGCAGAGCCCTACTAGGTAGGGATTGAGCCCGCAACCGGAGCATGTGCCCTTGACTAGAATTGAACCCAGGACTCTTCAGTCCGCAGACTGACACTCTGTCCACCGAGCCAACCCAGTTAGGGCTCATTTTTTTTTATTTTACGAAAATTTCAGTCTGTGACCAGTTGGAAATAAAAAGGTTGTCCTTCACCTCAGAAAGTTTTCTATGCCATATTCTAAGTCAGGCAGCTTACTAGTAATAAAAAGAAAACATCTTTTTATTTTAAATCTTTATTGTTGAAAATATCACATATGTCCCCTTTTTCCCATTGACCCCTTATAGCCCACCCCACCCCCCTGCCCAGGCCTTCATCACACTATTGTCTGTGTTTATGGGTTATGCATACAAGTTCTTTGGTAAAAGAAAGCATTTTAAACATGTTCTTGACTTGCAAATTCAGGTTTAAAGTCTCACCAAAATATATATATATATAATCAGTGTTTGGGGAGAACAAATATACATCACTTCAAACTAGGTAAAATTAGACTGTGTTTTTAAAGCAACTTATTTCACTAAGACTGATTTCTTTTTCAGGTATGCCAAAGTCTTGATGACTACTTGACCATAAACAAGAGCACAAGCCATTTGCTCCTGTCCTCTTTGATTCCTCTACACTTCAGTCCTGGCTGAAGCATCCTGCTGTCACTCAGCCAACATGGATAAGTGACTTTTTTTTAATGAAAAAAAAAGAAAGAAATAGACTTCACTAAGAATTTCTAGTTTAATAATCATTGGCTTGTCTTTTGACATACTCAGTCTTAACATTTCTTCTGTTACTCTACAACGGTTTGGCTTTGTGGATGGGGTTTCATTCATTCATGCATGCATGCATTCATTAATGCATTTTAAAGACTAAACTCTATCACTCAATTTTAGTTCATGACATCTGTTCTTCACAAATTGAGGGTTTTAAAGTATGTGGGAATGATATATACATCAGGTGTGAACTGTCATATTTTCATCCAACCAAATATCCCTATAACTTGAGACTGTTTGCAGGAATAAAACTTCTAACACAGAAATATAACGTATAATAGTTTTATTTTTCTCATTTTACTATTTTTACATTTTATGCACAAATATTTTTATCTGAGTAAAAATAGAAAATAACTGTTTTATGTAAAATTACAAAAAAAATAAAAACCACAAAGAAATACATAATTGTTATTATGACAGTATAAGTGTCTTTATTTAAAGAGTAAAAATGTATGCAAAAATCCTCCTCCCTTTTACAAAAAATTGAGAATTTTTTTTCTGGCAGCAAGTGAAATATCACTAAATATCAATATTTTTATACTTCCTAGATATGAAGACATTTAGTCAGTCACAGGTTGTTTTGCAATAATGAATTTAAAAACATTTTTGTGCTATTTCAAAGATACATTAGTTCTTTTTTAAAGGCAGTAGCATAAAATGATGAATATGGAAAATAGCAGACCTTGCTGCAAATATCTGGAGGTACAAATCTTTAAAGAAATATCATACTTGAGTTTCACCATTCGTCAGGGGAGAAAAACAACTAAACAAATTTTCCTAATTAACTGACATAGACTGATACAAAATGAATATAATTAGTTGATTCATGTGAAGATCAACCACACAGAGCAATTCTGCCTAATTTGATTTTCTGATGCCAACACAAATCTCTAAACTTCAGGCTAGTTCTATACCTATAAAGGTGGCTCAGTGAGAACCTCATGTGGAAAACAAGTTTTAAAACGAAAGTGAACATTTCATTATTCTTGTACTTAAGATATAAAAGATGACCAATAATTTTATCTTTCTTCCTTTAAATGTTTCGTAAATTCTCCTATGAAAAATTCATACATAAAAACTAAGAAAAAAAAAACGAAAAACAAAACATAACGAAGAATGAATAGTGTGAATTATATTTTCTTGCATAATCTTTCAATATGGGAAAAGACTACCTGACTTTCTGATAACTGTAACCTCAATAAGGACAGTGAAAATCGTTTACCGTAACCTGACAAAAGTAACAGGAATTTCTTGAATCAATTGGGGGAACTACCTATGTTATGGTGCATAAAATGATAAGAGGCAATGGAGAAAAAAGAAAAGGGTGTGACCATGTATGAGAAATGTCTCTGTTCAAATTATAATGAGCAATAAAAACGTATGGAAAAAAATGGAGACTGTGTTATTGTTTTTAAGTATCTGAGAAATGCTACAGAAGAAATAATAATTTGACTTTAGGGATCTAAAAGAAATTTGAGTGTTCCTTGCTTTAAAAAAATAAAAAAATGTATACACACACACCTATAACTGAGATACAAAGGAAGTCTGCCATCCTGGCTAAAAGGTAAACATAATGTCACCTTAAAAGCATTTCAAAAGTCAAGTATTTTAAGCTCTTGAAAATATATCAGAATAGTGTAATTTTTTTAGAACTACAAGTGATTTGTCAATTCCCTAGGTTAGTGGTCGGCAAATTCATTAGTCAACAGAGCCAAATATCAACAGTACAATGATTGAAATTTCTTTTGAGAGCCGAATTTTCTAAACTTAAACTACATAGGTAGGTACACTGTTATTAACTTAATTAGGGTACTCCTAAGGCTTAGGAAGAGCCACACTCAAGGGGCCAAAGAGCCGCAGTTTGCCAACCACGACCCTAGGCCATAAGTGGATGGTATGAAACCTTATTTTTAGCTATTGGTTATCTGAAAGTAGAGCTTTTGTTATTATTTCTTATTGCTAGTCTACTCAGATATTCTTGCAACCACTGCACCCAATATATATTAATAATTTGTCAGTCTATTTTGTGTGTGTTTATAAAATGATAACAGTGGGATGTTACAAACTTAATTCTTTTTTAGGTGTGTACTGCAGAGTCTTAAAGGACTTAATACAGTCATATAAATGGACCGACATTATACTTTGTAGCCCTATAGCACAGCACTTAAAATTATGATTTGAGGTTATCAGACAAGGAAATCATAGACCTCTCCTCTCCTTGCTCCTAAGAGCCCTGTCTCCTGCGGTTCATTCCAAATGCTATTTAGTATATTGATGGCAGCAACTGCTAGCAATGCCACGTTGCCTATCTTACCATGGCCCTTTCCTCCTGGTTAGTCAAAAGCATTAACCAAACCTTATAAAGCTGTTTAGAGGAATGAATTTAAAGTAAATGATGAGGGAGAAAGTGCATAAAGAAATATTTGAGAATAAATCTTCTGCTATAAGAGGATTAGAAGTTATTTGCCAGTATCTCACATCAGGATTTGTACATAATACCTTAAAACAAACAACAAAACAAAAGATAGCAAGGAGAGCGAGCAAGCAAACAAAAAAGATACATATTTCTAGCCACTTCTGCTTAGTGTTAGCTTGTGGTAAGTAAAGAGTTTCATATATAAAAGAATTAATTTTTTAACATTAAAAAAATGAGTTATTACCTTTTGAAAAATCTTTCCTTCTGAATATTATGTCTTCATATATGTGTATACCTGTATTTATAGGAAATGGTAAAGTGGACATGTATACAGATATCTGTATACTCAGATATATAAATATTCAAAAGGAGAAAATTAAATAAATGGACAATTTTGCTTTAAGAGAAAACTGCCTGTACTGGAGGTAAAATTTTCTTTTTAAACTATTTGCAAATAATTTCCTAATATCTTGAAAGGTGAAGTACTGATGACTGATTTAAAGTCTTCATTTCATCAGAAACACAATGACCATGTAAGTAAGCTGCTTTGCATAATAAACCAGCATGAAAGGGTAATTAAAAAAAAGAGAGAGAGAGAGAGAGAAGCCAAACCAATTTTCTGGCTGAGGTATACCTTCTCGGTTTTTTAGATCTCTGACAGGAAAAACAGAGATCATTTCAAAATTTTTGTAATAGTTGGTTTATTAGATTCAATGCCTCTCTTAGAATTTAAATTCTTGACCTAACATTATGAATCTATACAGAAACCTGAGCCAGATTTAAACATAGGTCTCCCTCTTCAGCACTGCTCTTCTGCCAGTTGACTTCTTTGTCCTTTGCTTGCAAATATATAAATTACTTTAATAACTTGATGCTATTAGTTTAGTAATTTATTAATATTATACTTTTATTTGATATGACTATTTTAGCTCTGCCTGATTAGATGAAACAGGCACACATGCTTTAGCTGTTAAAGTCCCATTTTCTGGTTTTATGTAAAGCAACATCTAAAGCAGCAGAGAGGGTAAACAGTTATACTTTCAAAAATAGTTAAGCCAGACTGTTTCCTGAAGATACTTCATGTATTTTTCATCCTCAGATGCTGCTGGCTATTTTTGGTAGGGCTAGACATTAATACTGACCAGTTTAGCTTTCCTGACTGTTAACAAACTACCCACAATGAACCTGCCTTCATACTGAAGCCATTGTGGTGATCCTGTAACATACTTATATTCTAAAATATATGCTCAAAGTAAAAAGATCCAAATTCACAAGAGTATGAAATATTTATAAAAAAAAATCATGCAATCGAACTGTACAGTCTAGAAATAAAGGAAGATTCAAATTCAGTAATAAAGGTGAGAGCAATGCGTGCTCTCAGAGTTAAGAAAGACCTTGAAATCCCAGCAGATCCTGGGCTCAGTTATCCTTTTCTGCTTGCAGAGAAGCTGCAGCCAGGGCGACTGCTGTGACAGGCTGGGCGATTCCATGGAGCTGCATCTTTGCAAGTTTCTTCTGTTCACACTCTGTGACCAAACGGTTCAACTCTGCCGCACTGTATCCAATAACAGTCTTCAAGTCACAGACAAACTTGTACACAAATCTCTTGCCCTGAACTTTACAAATCATGTCTCCATCATAATAATACCTTTAAAAAGAGAAAAACACATCAGTACTATATAAAAAAGAGAGTTTGGGCTTCGCACAGTATTTCATACTCTTCCTTAGGCAGAAGACTAAGAGAATACTGCATCTATCATAACAGAAGTTAACATAAAGTTATACAGAAATATTTAATGTTACTATGCAAGGAAACTTCAAAACATTACTTACTAAAATTTCAATGCTCAGCACTCCAAAACTTTACATACTACATTTTCAAAGCATGTTTTCCACAATTAGGATAAAACACTGATTTAAAAGGAAACATTATTAAGTAAAACAAAAAACTTTGGGAGCAGTAACAGAACCGATGGACAGGGGCTTAGAACCAGAATGCTGAGATTTGAAATCTAGCATCTTTACTTATAATTTCCTTTGTGACCAGAAGAAAGCCACATTTTCTCTAAGCTTTTATTCCACTTCTATAAAATAAGACTTAAAACAGTACTTACCCTCATAGAACTGTTGAGGATTAAAAGGACTACCTTTGTAAAGTGCCTAAGGATACAATAACTAGCACATAATTCTCTATAAAATATAAGCTATGTTAACAATTAAGAATCCATATAATGCAAAGAAGTTTTTAATATATCCTATGCATTGTTGGAATGTCCACACTTCTTTACTGTCTTGTACAAAACGCTATATTGTGTAACCATGCCTTCAGTTAATATGTAAAGACTTTCCTTTCTGAGAAATTCACCAAACCCAATAGGGAACCTCAAAAGAATAAAAAAAAAAAAGTATAAGTAAACAGGGTAGAAGAAACAACACAGAAAAACGGGAAGTACATCATTAAGAAACAATGCTTCTAAGCCTTGGGGAAATCACTCCAGAACAGTGATTTTCAATCCTTTTCATCTCATGGAACACATAAATTACTAAAATTGTGAGGCACACCAAAAAGTATGTTTTACCATTCTGACAAAAAAAAGTTATAACTTTGATTCAGTCACACCAAACGGCTATTGTGTTGGCTGCTGTCATTTTTTATTTGACAATCTAAGGGAAAAGAGGTCAGTGCCCCTGACTAAATAGGTATAGCATAAAAATTCTTGCGGCACACAGGTTGAAAACCACTGCTCTAGAAGTCTAGTTTATTCCTGCTTTCTATGGAGATGGAAATAGAACAGAATTTATATTTAACTCGGAAAACAGACTTTATTTACCACTATGCCCTGCCAATTCCAACTCCAATAAGGGGGGGGGGGGGGCTTCCTAAGTGAATACTTCTGGGCCGGCAGACTGTGAAGCCTTTGTGTTAAAATTGCACTGCCTATTTGCACCCATTTGACAAAAGTTGTTAGTAACTTATTACAAAAGGAACATTTGAAAAAGTACCAATGGTATAAACTAGCATATTTAGCAGGATTTTATTATAAAAGCCACTCCACTTAATTGAGTGCATTAATGAAATGACTGACCTAAACACAGGAAATCATGATCTTTCCCT